GCTCTGACCCCATCTCGCTGCATCACCGGGCAGCGGACACCATGCCAGACCAAAGCAGCTCGCCCAGGCGACTCCAGTTTGGGGGCACAGGGGCTGCGCGAGCACGCGCGCGTGCGAGAGAGGGGCCTGTGCACCCGACGGGGTTACCCGCAAACAAGTAGCAGGACAGGGACTTACTGCATCTCTTCCTTTGCACATCACTTCCTCCTTCAGTGGCTCCAGGCGTGGGCTCTGCGTTTAACACCACAGGAAAAATCATCGTTACTGGGAGAACTCTGCAACAAGGTAAAACGTGGCTGTAACCCACGGGCCAGCCCAGCTCAGTGTGACAGACGGGCACCCCTCTGGGGACGCTCCTTCGGGCACCCAGGGGAGAAAAGGGACGCGGCCTGCGCATCTGCGGGGCTCGGTGGGTCCAGACCGACCACAGGGAAGCCAGGGGAGGGGCAGCAGAGCCGAGGGGAGAAGGGGCGGCTTTGGAGATAGCAAAGCACGAGCAGCCTTGCGAGTCCGGGTCCGGTGAACGGGTGCAGCCTCTGTAGCGATGCCAGGCGCGAATACCAGGGCTGCTGGCACAGGGGGAGGTCCCGGCACCAACCAGGGCAGCACCACGGGCAGGGCAGCCCCCAGCCCCCCTCCCCTCGGCCACGCACCCTGCACTCCAGTTTCTCGATGAGCTGCTGGAGCCTGTTGATCTGTGCCAGCCACTGGCTGGTGGTTTCAACACAAACCCCCCGACGGGGGAGGGCGTGCCAGCCACTGGCTGTTGTCTTCGACACAAACGCCTGCGTGGGGAAGGGCAGAGAGTCGTCAGCGAAAAAGCTTGCTTTTATCACAGCAAAAGCTTGCTTAACACTCAGAAAACCACAGAAGCTTTAAGACCTCTAATTTAAACCAAAAAAAAGATTTGGTTTTCTCCTGAAACTTTTCCCACTCCTCAAGAGATGCGACATCCCACAGGAGCTCCAGCTGGTGTCTGGGTGGGACAGTCCAGGCTCTGTCCCGGACAAGCCCCAGCTCCTGCATCCGCTCCGGGCTCCAGCGGGGCAGGGGCAAAGACACGGACCCGAGGGACGGCCGGGCTGCGGATACCTGTCGTTAGCATCCCGGAATAGGGGTCCGTTGGAGAGAGACAGACGTTCTTCTGTCCTCTGCGCCCGCATCGTCTCCCCGACCTGAGGCCAACCGAGGTCTCAGATTTCTTTATGTCCTTTCTGAAAGAATAAAATGCAAAGGGGGGGTGCTGGGGTCATTCACTACGTGGGGCAGCTTCACAGTGGGCTTGGAGAGGGCAGATCCTACTCCCAGACGTGCACCCCGGGGGACCTGGGGGACCAGGGGACCCAGTCCTGCCCCGTGCTGCGAGCCCCCTGAGCGGTGGTGGGGAGAGGGGGAGGACCGGCACGTCCCATCCCAGTACCTCTCCTGTCCCGCCTGCTCCTCTACGGTGTCCACGGCACACTCGAGCGAGGCCTGCAGGGACTGCAGCTGGTGCATGGTTTCCCGCAGCAGGAAGCGGGTCAGGAACTGCTCCATCTTCGAGGAGGTCTCATACCTCTGCGGGAAAAGGGAGAGGATCCATCAGATGCCCCCGGCTCTGCGCAGGGTGGGAGCAGGGCTGCATCTGGAAGGGGTTGGCCCTCAAATAAACCCAGCAGGGTGGATTCCAAAAATATTTTTTAGGCATTGTAGGAAACAATGACACTGTAGGACAAAAGCATCCTCTGGCTGCACCCCTGAGAGGTCACAGCAGGGAATGCATGGTGTGACCCCCCACGCCAGCCCCAGCACCCACAGCCCCCCA